GCGGCTCTGCTGAGCCGGCGCCTTCTCCCTACACCAAAGCACCAGCGGGCACTTCTTCCCGCCACCTCTCAGAGTCCGTGTCCTGGTGGGCTGTCCAGCCTCCTCTCACAGGACACTCTACAGCTGCAGTTCCTACCCTCGGATCACTCTCTTCATAGACCCTGCATCCAAACTTCCCAAGGGAGAGGCTCTGATGGCCGGCCAGTCCCTCACGGCCCTCTGGGACTGCCCCGCCTGGGCAGAGTGCTCAGGCCGCGCCTCCTCTGGTGCTGATCCTGGGTCCAGTCAAACAGGCAGCAAAGGCCTGCACAGCCTGAGAAATCCTTCCCCCCAGTGCTTGGGTGTGGCAGGCACTCAGAAGCCCTTCAGAAGGGGGCACTTTGTCAGCTGTCACCTTGCTTGGCTTGTCTGGTGCAAATCCTTAGTCGGCCACACTGGCAGCTGTCCAGCCCTGCTCTGCTGACCTGTGGATTTTCAGCAGCGTGTCCTCACTGCCCTCCTCTGGGAGCGAGCCCCTTAGGATACCCACTGGCCGGGTGTATACCCATCCGGCCTGCATCGCTCCTCCAGCCCCGAGACACTCAGGCTCTGACAAATGCCAGGCTGAAATCCACGCTCCGCTCTGCCCTCTCTGACCATCAGGAAACATGAAACAACCCACCCGAATAGTCGGGTTGGTCAGGGAACTCAACGCAGGAGGGCCAGAGACCTGGCTTCAGGAGACCTGCGAGGTGTTTGCGGAAACAGAGAGTGTCTGCCCTTTTGTTTTGGAAATGCCATCACAAGTGTGGGGTTGGGGACATTTTGTAATTGTAACTACAACTGCGATGCAGTGTGACTGCCCTCTGACGCTGGGGGAGGCTTTCTCTTCCCAGCTACAAAGTTGTTCTAGAGAACACAGAATCCAGCAGATGGGAAGGCTTTGAGTCACAGCTCTCAAATCCGAAGCTGCTACACTTAAACCGTGTGTGTGGTTACCGGCCTGGCCCAGATCTGCAAAGGACGGGAAGGCTCCAGGGATGAAGTTCAGTGTTGTGGCCTCTCACCCAAATCCCAGGCTGAGGTGAAGTTCACCGTGGAAGAGCAGGAGGCTGTGTGGTTGGGGGTTGGAGCCCAGCGCCTCCACTCACCACTAGCTTCAGGCGTGGGCAACTAACTCAGCTGGCCTCTGTGCTTTGAGAAGTGGAGAGGATTCCATGCAACCCAGTCGTGGCCTTGTTGCCAGCATCAAATGGGTCACACCTGGCAGATACTAAGGCCTCCGCACTGTTACAGATTTGTGATAGGTCCGGGCAGGGGCAGTTCTCCTTATCTTGTGTCCATGGAAGTCTGCATGGAAACCCTACTCTCAGCCAATGAAGCATCACAAGGGGCCACTTCCTCCTGAAGGCAGAGCCAGCTCCAGCTTCTCCCTCTGGAGCTCGCTCACACTGCGCCATCTGACCTCTCTGTCCTGGCCCCAGACTGGCATGTCAGAGTGGGCCGTCCGAGGGTCCTGCATCTCTCCTGCCTCTAGGAATGCTCCTGGCCTGACTGTCACTGTTGGCTGTAAGTGCCCTGGGCCTCCCTCCAAGCAACAACCCTGGGAACTGTGAGGAAAGAGGGTAGGACCAGGTACGGGGGAAGAACATGGCTCCAGAACCACTGCAGCTGCTGCTTAGAGAGCTCAGTGTCCTGCAGGCCTCCCGTCCAGCTTGAAGTGACTATTCCCACACTGACGAGAGCCACCTGGCTGCCACAGCGCACCTGCCTCCCAAGGCCCATGTGATCCCGCCCATTGTGAAGACAAAGGAGCTGGTGCCCAGAGAATCCAGGCAGAGCCCTTTGATGCAAGAAAGACTCTTCCCTCTGAGTTTCTCTTGCTGGTCCAGAGCCCCATGCCCCTGCCCCCCTTTATTTGCACCTCTGCGGGGAGCACAGTTGACAGGGAGCCGCTCCTTGCTCCCCTGACTCCCTGGGTCATTTTCTTCCTTAACCCCCCTCTTCCTTACTCCCCTCAGGTGGGCACCCCTGATAAATGTCCTCCTAGCAATGACAGTTTAAAAACCATTCTGTGTTCTCTTTCTATTCCCCTGACAGACACTTGCGCCATCCCTACTTCCCACCAAGGACTCTGTGAAGTCATCTCTGCAGAAGGCGGAGCTCGGAGCAGGGAGTTTTGCGGCCAGGGGCCCACGAGGCGCCTCCCACTGCAGTTGAGAGGGGACATGTGAGTTTCTTCCAAGGAAGGACTTGGAAAGGGTGTCAAATTGAGAATCAATCACATTTCTAGAAGACATTGCAAGGGAAGAGCTGAATTTAAGGTTTTCTCTTTCAAACTGGGTCGCACTCATAAACATTGCTGGTAGGAGTGCAGACAGGTGCAAATACTTTGGAAAGCAATGTTGAGGAGCATTATATCCACGACCCAGGAATTCCACATCTAGATGTATGTCCTTGGCGTGTGACCTAGGGAAATCCTTGTGCCTCTGCTCTGGAGACATTTGAGACAAAGTTTGTAGCAGTAGTGTTGGTATTTTCAAGGAAAAAAGAACCAAGAAACAACTCAAATGTCCAGTGACAGGAAAACACATGACATCCATACAACAGAATACTACACAGCACTGAAAACAAATCATCTAAAGCTGTAGGGATGGAGCTCACAAACCGCAAATGCAGCAAAACATCGTAGAAGAGGCTACAAACAGTACAATGCCAGTTACGTAAAATTCAAAAAACATTTTAAAAACAAAGAAAAGCAAAGGAATGAGAAACACAAAATTTAGGATAGCGGCCCTTCCAGGGCCAGAGAAGAATACACAGGGACCTTAATGGCATGGGTGACGTCTCTCTTACAGTGGTGGTGGGTACCCATATATTCATTTGTCATACACCGGACATACTTCATGTAGTCTTTGGTGTATGTAAAACAGTGAACACACAAGTCTTCACAGTCCGTTCTGAGGAGGGACCCTCCACCTAGGTCCTATTACCCCTCTGAGCTATTACCTCCCTTGGCCACTTAGGCAACTCTTCCTTCCTTGCCCACTAGTGGAGAGAATGCTACTGGTATGCCACTGCAATGATATTGCTCAACAAGCATTATTAGTCAGTGCTAAGTAACAACTAAATGCCTGCAACAAGGTCAATATCCCTGCCGAGAAAGCCTCAGGAGTCATGGAGACAAGGGGCGCATTTGGCAGCCTGTGGATTTGGGGAAAGATATGAAGGCATCACTGTGCATTAATCATTAACATTTGAGCTGCGAGTTAAGGTCGAAATGCTGGCTCAGAATGCTGTGCGATGGCCCCAAGGATCTTGCAAGAGCAGCTCTCTGTTTTTCATTTGATTTACTGCTAGGAATCACTGGCTCTGGCCAGACAGCAGTTATAAGAGCCATGTCTTTCTATCTTTCTCTCTCTAAGATTGTTTTGGAGCCATTTCAGGACCACACCCTAAAATTGCTCAGAAAATAAGAGCTCTGAGTGTCTGATTTCTGCAGAGACGATTTGGAGATGCTGGCTGTTGCTGGAGGTGCTGAGTCACAGGGCTGGGATCTTGGGTTTAAGCAGTCTGAAACACCAATGTATTGCTGCTGAAATCATAAACTCTGCTTGCAAAATTCATCTAATTCTTTAGGAAACATTTTACAATCCCTTGTTGCCTTTTTGCTGAATTTAATCCTAAAGTTCTTGCTTCTTAGACAATGGAAAGCAAACACTGTGGATTCAGCAGGTGTTCTTGGCCTTTACTGGGTGTGCATTGGAAACTTAAGCCAGTAGTAGCTCGGGGGATTTAAAAAAAAATGCTAGGAATTATGGAAGAAAGGCAATTTTGGCAGCTGACCAGAGGAAACAATAATTAAATTCAAATACACATCTCAATGTCTCTATGAGAGGCAATGTGGAAAACATGGAGATGTATGTATGGCATTGTTTTACTGTTCAGACTTACAGACCAAGAGGAATGCTCAGAAATCCAAAAATAACTATACTAGGAAAGGAAATGCTGGCCTCAGCACGCCCCGCCCCCCTCCCAGTGGGTGCTGTAGAACAGATTTTAATGAGTAGCAGTTCTTTCTTGATCAGAAAGGTGCGATCACTGCACTCACACCTTCCTGTTTTTCATCCGCCAGACCACCACAGAATATTACCTGTTTTAAACTTTGAAAAAACACCACATCCATGTGAAATTTCAGTCCAAATCGTTACATGTAGGGTTCACAAGATGTCAGGTAGATTTCATCTACTGAGGTGGATTAGGGAGAGAGATGAAGTCTCCTTTCAAGACGGAACACAAACAAGAGGTAGAGAATGAACTAACACTGGGGAGGGAGCAGTGCCCGATACACGAAAGTATTAGCTGTAATCAAAAGGACGTGAACTTCCTCTCGGCCATCGGACCTGCAATCCAAGTCTGACCCACGGAAAAGGGGAAAAGGACAAAAAGGACGGGGTCACCTAGGCCCGCGGTCGGTCGGGAGCGCAGCGCACAGCCGCCTGTGGGAGCACGAGGCCCTTGGGACGCAGCTCCGCGGCTCCTGGCCGCCAACGTCTCCAGGCCAACGGGGTCTCGGGGGAGCGGCGGAGAAGGGCGGGCCGCGAAGGTCGTCATCAAGGTCGTGGGCCCGCCGTGCGGCGCCGGAGCGACGCTACGTGCGTGCGGGACTCATAGTACGTGATAGATCCTGGATCCCTCATGCCGGATGCGCCACCCCGCCCCTCCCACCCCGGGGTATCGGCGCTAGAGCCCGCGAGTCCAGGGGTCCCAAAGGAGGGCGGAAGTAAAGTGGGGCAGAGGTTCACCCGCACCCCACACAGCCGCCAGGGAGCCACAGCACCCCAGTACCACGACGCCCCATCTCCGCGGGTAGCCCCCCCTCCCCATCCACCCCACAGGCACGAGGGCCGAAGTAGCGCCCCTTTCCCGGAGGCGAGGCCCGAGTGACAGTGCGCCCGGCCAATGGGGAGGCGGCAAGGAGGGGGCGGGGAAATGGGCGGGGCCTTCCCGAGCTAGGCAGGAAGTCCGGGCAGTCGGCCCAGAGAAAAGCTGAGGGTATAGGGAGCGCCCAGACCTTGAGGTTGCACGCTCGCTTTCGTGTACAGCGTTCTGCTTCTTTCCCGAGCGGCAACAACCAGCGGCTGGGTAAGGACTCGGGGAAGAGCTGCCCAGCAGGCGCCCAGGCAGGCAGCGCGTAGGTGCTCCTTGGGGCTCCTGCCTGTGGGACGGCGTGCCGACGGGCTCGGCGAGGTCGAGGGGAAGGGGCGGGTCGGCGCTTGCGAACCAGCCTCTCGGGGCCCCCACTGTGCGGCCGGAGGCCAGGGCGCGGCGCCGGATTTCTCCGGAGGGATCCGCCTGTGATTACGGAGTTCTGGGGCCACTTAGCTGTAATGGGAGGTCAGAAATCGGACGCGCAGGCCACATAGGACAAGGCGTTGAGAGTGGAAGATTTTGGGGAGAGATACTGGCCTAAGCCTGCGTGCTTATGAAATCCGGGCCCTTCCTAAATGAAACTAGGGGCCGGGAAAGAAGAGGTGTGTGGGGAGCTACAATTCCATCCCCCCCCCCCCCACACACACACAGACACACCAGTTGCCCCTGCTTCCCGCAGGTGGCCGGCCCTCTGCCTGCAGTTGGGCGGCTGGGTATCCAGCCCGCAATGAGCAAGTTACTCGTACAACTTCAGAAGGTGCTTACCCCTGGGGAGACCAAGGCAGAGCCCTTGGGGGTAATTAATTGGGAAGCCTTCCAGGGGACCTCACCCCCGCATGGGCTGCACCCGTCTCTCCTGGCTGGCCATCGGCAGTCAGCCCTGATCTGACATAAAAAGGACGTACTTTAAGAAAGCTGGCGGTTTCCTGCTTCCTCCCTGCACAATGTGGTTTTTGCTCTGGGCGGTGTGGTCCGTTGGTTGACCGGCCTCGGCACATGTAGGCCCTGACCGCATGGTCCACACATCCGTCCTGGCCGGGGGCGCGGGGGGGGGGGGGGGGGGGGTCGTTCCCCGGCAGATAAAAAGCTGTGAAGACTCCTGGTGAGACCAGTCTTCCTTCCTGCCTGTGCTCCCTGGCCTTTAATGACTTCTTTTTTCCCCCCGCCAAATCCAATTTAAAGGCAAGTTGAGTTTACCTCGTATTGTGTCGGTAAAATGAAATTAAAAAAGAGCTCTTAACAACTGTATGCCGTGCTTAGAAGTACATTAAAACTAAAATCTATGCTTAAACAAGTTGCCTTTTTGTAAGATAGTAGCTAAGAACCAGATACCTTTTTATCCACTAATGAATAAAACTCCATTGTTACACAGGCAGCAAAGCCACAGGAGTAACTTCAGTATCTAATTTTGAAACTTAAAAAAAAAAAAAAAAGATGCCATTTGCTTCAGAACATTCCAGAAGATATTGGAGATGTGCCCAGCTAGGCAATGGCTTCTGAACACTAATTCAGTTCCTTTTATCCATGCTTCAGTCCTCGGAGTGGTTCAGTTTCTTCCTCAGAGAAAATAGAGGCTTTCTTTGAAGACTTGCTGTTTGTTATTTGTAGCTGCATTTTTTTTAACGGTGTTTTCAAAGGAAGACTTCCGTCGGAGTCCTGGTGTTTCCTCTCTTTAGGAAACATGGTCTTTCATAATTAGAGTTTTAAATGGGGCGTTATTGATGCGTTCTTACCTTGCTGAAGACCCAAGCACTGAGTTTTGGAGCCCTAGAGACTGGCAGAAGCCAAGATCATGGTGCTCAGACTAGGGAGCTCACTGATTATCTGCTACCCACCAGTTGAAACTCCTGCTGCTACCTCAAGTTTAACGTGATGAAATATGTCCCAAACGGTTAATCCACTGTTTCCCCAAGAATCAGGTCTTCCTCCTGTCCACCCCTGACCTCCCCCCCTTGCCATTTTTAGTCCTAAAAGGTTTTGCTCATGACCTTCATTTCCCCTTGGTCCTCACTTGGTCCCTTTCTATGCTCATGCCAACCCTCAGTGTTAACTAATGACAATAATTAGTTTCCAACTGCCTGTTCCCCAGCCATTCTCCGTCAGTGCGCTCATCTCCTGATTTGACCATTCCCTGGCACACACCTCCTCCGGCACCCTAGGCCTATAGGACAGGGCCTGAGCTGCTGGGTTTCAGGCCTTGCAGAGCTGGGCCTCACCTGCTTCTTCAGGAGTGATCCCCACTGCCTTCAGCAGACATTTTCTCCTCTCTAACCCTCCCTCCTGCCTCCAGCATTTAGTGCAGTGTGGGTTCTTGCTAGTCTAGGAAGCCCCAGGAGTGGTCCCTGAATGAATGAGCCAAGGCTGCGTTGTGGTTTGTGATGTGAACTCTTTCCCCACAGAAATTCACCATGTCTGTTCTGAAGCTGCATGCCCGAGAGATCTTCGACTCCCGTGGAAATCCCACTGTTGAGGTGGATCTCTGCACCTCAAAAGGTATGAGCCACCTCTGTTGCTCTAGTTCTTCCACCTCATTCCACTTTTGAAAACTTCCTTCCAGTGACAGAGCCTTGGGCAGGGAAAAGTCCATTACTGTGAACGCCTTTCTTTCTTGTCTGCACATGCCGGTAGGTTGTGATTTCTGACTGGGTTCAGGTTGTAAGGCAGGAGTCCCTGTCTTGCTGCTTCCTGGGTCAGTGAGGTAGGGGACAAAGGTCAGTCTTGTCTCTAAAAGGGCCCATTACTAGTTTGCTTTGAAGCTCGTTGCAACGAAATAAGTAGTATAAATATAGCACTGTCATCTTTGTTTCCAGAAATCGTTCTTAAACCAAAGATTGGGGACAGTTTTTACTTCTGGGTGGTGGGGCTCTACCGAAGCCATCAGTCCGCTGAGGAAGAGTTTGCCCGCAGTAAAGGAAGAACAGAATGGGCCTGTGATGGAAAGTTCTTCTGTAGCCCTGTGTCACCTCCACCAGTGAGGTTGGAGGGAGGGTTGGGCAGGATCGCCGAGTGGGGCTGAGCACGTGGGGACCTGCCAGTCAGAGCTGAGTCACATCTGAGTCACAGGCCTGGCTGTATAACCCCCAGCCCTTCCCTTCCTGCCCTCCTCTCCCCAGAAAAGCAGGCGCCCCCCACCCCACCGTCTAGGTGTCATTCGGCAAAGGTCTGCCTGTGGTTGCTCACTGTGGGGGACCCTCTCAGAGCGGGGGGCTCCTTCTGAGCTTGGGCTTCGGGCGAATGCCAAGGCTCCCTGAGGTTGCTGAGAATTGTCTTGCATCTCAGAGATTGGCCTACGTAGTCAGCGGGTAGAACTTTCCACTGGGAAATTAATGGACTTGAAACAACAGTGAAAAAAAGACCCAAGACACAAGAGGATTATTGGGAATGGGGCCACTTTCTTTGAAACACTTAAAACAAGTAAAACTGAAATTTCTTTTTTTGAAATTTAAATGACTGGAACTTTCCCTCTTCCGTGTCTTAATCCTTTTCAGATAAAACAGGAAATAGATTTGTTAGACTTTTATCACTTCTTTTTTTCTTAGAATTTATATTTTAGGGAAGCTAAAAAATGGCTCTCGAGCCAGTGCTGCCAAGACCTGGAAACTGACCACCCCCCCACCCCACCCCACCCCCACCCCCGTCGTTCGGGGTGACTCAGCAGCAGTGCCATTGAGCTGGACTGTCTGGCGTGCCTCACGGTGTTTTTCTTGGTTGTGTGTTTAAGATATATTAAATGTATTTCCCTTGTTTTGATCTTTGACTGCAGCATAGCTGCTGGAAGCATGAGTCCCGTGGGTGGTGCACGTGTTTCTGCTGGGCGGCCCATGGGTGCGGGCTCGCCAGCCTCCCTTCCCTCAGCCTGCGTTCTCACAGGGTCCCCAGGGGACGCTTATGCGTGTTAAAGTTTGAGAAGCTCTGCTCCAGACCTCTCCCTTTAACCTGAAGAAATCCATCAGCTTGGCTGTAGGCTCTATATTGCATAATCAGGCAAATGCGAAAAGTGGCGGGAAGAGGCCACCGAGCCTCCCAGGTGGTGGAAGGAAGTGACGGTTTTTCCCAATGGCCCTGCCACGGGAGGGCGGGGGGAGGGCTGTAACTGTGTTTCTTAACCATTAGTTACTCTTGCTTCCCCCCAACATCCAGGTCTCTTTAGAGCTGCTGTGCCCAGTGGTGCCTCGACTGGTATCTACGAGGCTCTGGAGCTCCGGGACAATGACAAGACACGCTACCTGGGGAAGGGTGAGAGTCCGCGCCGCAGCGTGCCTCGGGCCCGGCTGGTCCCGCCTGACACAGCCTCCCCCACCCCGAGTGGCTTGTATTCATGGGTGGGAAGCGTGGCCCACACCTGGAAGACTGGGGGTTCCTGTGCCTGGAAGTGCGGGGCCGGCGTTTTAATGCTTATTTTTATCGCGGCTCATCTCCAGTCTGTGGGGAACTCCTGGGTGGGCCCGGAACCTCCGGATGAGAAGGCGAGTTGGTTTAACACTGACGGAAAGCCTCCAGGGTCTCTCGGGAGGGCGGGCTGGGGGAGGGCGGGCTGGCCGGCGGCTCCCTGTTGATGGTGGCCTTCAGCTCAGTGGTCACACCTGGTCTTTGCCCACTGATCACAGAAGCCCCACACTGGCAGGGCTGGCCTCTGGGGTTGTGTTCACCCACCTGTAGACAGAACCAGGTTACAGGAAGGCGGAGAGGGCTGGACCTTGCATTCTTGATGCAGGGGGACACTCACCCCCGTGGGTGGAGACTGGTTCTTCAGGAGAGCCCAAAAACCCTCAGTATTGCCCCAGTTTTTGACCCACAGAGGGCCGTAGAATGTCCTCAGGGGAGGAGGCGGGCCTGACATGAGGTTGGAAATGCTGGTTCAGTCCCAGCTCAGAGTCCTACAAAAGGCCCTTCCACGGGGTTCAGTGGCTCAGGGCCCAGAAGCAAGCTTGTCTGCGGCGGGACCATGCCCTGCCTGACTGTAATGAGGGTGAACTTGGGGTCCCTGCTGTCTCCCTCCACCTTCTGTTTCTTTTCTTCCACTCACTGCCCTTCACAGCCTTTTTCTTCTTCTTTTTTCCTTCTCTGTCAACCTCCACTGGTCAGGCGTCTCCAGACCCGTTAAGTATATTAATGAGTTCCTGGCACCAGCCTTGTGCACGCAGGTAACGCATCGCACATCCTTTAGTTTCTGCAGCTGGCGTGTCCAGTGCATGGTCTTGCCAACTAACCTCGCTCTGTGTGCGGCTCTGACTGGGGGGTCCTAGGTGAGAGCACTCAGACTTGGCCAAAAAGTCCTCCGACTTCCCGGGGGAGCAGGCCGCGGGGCTTGCAGGCGGTGCCACTGACAGTCCCTGGCGGGCTTCCGACTGTCCGGTTCGTGTCAGTGGCTCTCCAGCAATGCTGCTCAAGCCTGGTTTTCATTAATGTCAGTAATTTGTTCCTTCTAGGTGTCTCAAAGGCTGTTGAGCACATCAATAAAACTATTGCGCCTGCCCTGATTGGCAAGGTAGGACCCGCCTCCTGATAACTAATGAATATTAATGCCCTCAGGGCTCCCCCAGGCCAGTGGGCTCTCCTGTTGCCGGAAGAGCTCATTCTGAGCGCTGACGAGGATGATTTTGCCTTTGCTCACCCTCCCCCTGCGTGTCCGTGTCTAACAGCGAGTGGATTGGAGCAGGCGGGTGGGGGCCACCTTCCAGCCTTGACTTTTCCCTTCAAGTACCTTGACCTTTGGGAAGTTAATGTCCAGGGGTGTTGGACATAGTGTCCATGGTGACTGACTCATTTGTCACCAACCGTGGAATTTAGGATATTTCTACTGGCTTTTCAACAGTGGAGCTCTTGTTAAATCTTAGTTGGAACTTCAGTACATCAAACATAGTTAAAGTAGAGCTGTTGTAGGTGAGGCAGCCTGGGGCCCAGGCAGCCCGACCCGCTCAGCAATCTGGCCTTCCTCTTCTCCTTCTGCCACTCCCGTGGCCCTTGCCCAGGGTGGGGGCTGTGAAACTCCCTCACTGGAAAAGCCTTCTCAGGCTGAAGCCGCCATAGCCTCCTCCTCTGTTCTTGGCCGTGGTCCCTCCGTCCCTGAATGGGGCCTGTGTGCTGCCGGCTGAGGAATCCTCTGTGGCTCTCCCTGGCTGGTCGGCCTTGGCCTCGCCTTTTCAGGACTCTGTAACTGGTCCCCGGCAGCTTGTCGTTACTGCCCCAAGGCACATACCCTCCGTCCCAGGCTGCAGGGCACATCCTCACACCTCCGTTCTCTGTGCCTGGGGGCCCTTACCTGGACATTTTTCCCAGGGTGGGGGGGCACACCTCAGTGTAACTCTTAGTGGGAGTTGGTCCCTGCAGCCATCTGCTTCAGGGACTGCTGACTGTCACGGACGTCTCCCCGAAAAGCAGACATGCCGGTCGTTGACATGGCGTGATGACCTTATGGCAGGTTTTGTATTCGAGTTTGCTAGGGCGATTGTAAATGAAATACATTGTTACAATTCAGTTAAAGTAACGCCAACTTTTATTTAAAAGTATGTTAGTAACGCCAACTTTTATTTAAAATTATGTTGACCCAGTCTTAAAGATACAGATTTTGTTACTTTATAATCTCACCAAAAGTATCCATCAACTATTTCGCTACATGGTTTTGGACTATTGCAAGAGTCCTGTCAGTGGCTCTGAAATTCGCTGTCATTGAGGACTTCCAAGAGCCACACTGTTGAGTGAATAGCCTGCCTCTCGAGAGCACGTCACCCATCTGAGTGGACAAGGAAACATTACTTATTGTCCCAGAGGTCACACTACTCGTAGTAACCCCTTGACAAGCATGCACCAGTCAGTTCTGTCGTGTGTGTGGCATACCCCCGGACCCCCCAAGTAGGCTGCCCTTAGACTGCCCCCTGTCTCACGTGTCTCGTGGCTCCCTGGTGCTTGGAGACATGCCTGGTAGAATCGAAGCGAAGGAGGCAGTGTTGTGTCTTCCCGTTGTCCCTGGAATCCCCCGCTTCTGCCTGTCAGACAAACGTGTGGCCCAGAACTGATGTGGACTGTGCACAGGTCAAAAGTTCTGTCGCTTCCACAATGGTGGGAAGGCCGTACAGATAGTGACGCCCCTCCCTCCCCCGTAGAAACTGAGTGTGGTGGAGCAGGAGAAGATCGACAAGCTGATGATCGAGATGGACGGCACGGAAAACAAATGTGAGTGGGGGGGGCCTTGCTGGGAAAGACTGGCCTCTCCTGAGGACCACTTCGTTCCTTGGGGAGGGGTGTGCGGTCCCTGACGGTGGACTGCGTGCGCGTCTGGTTGCCAGGTGGCGGCGCCTGTCTGAGGCTCACTCAGCAGAGTAGTCCTTTGTACTAACCAAGCAGTGGGCGGGGTCTGCCAGGGTTCCGTACAGTGAAGAAAGGGCTTTCTTTTAGGGGGAAAAGGTGTCCACATGGACTGTGGTTTGCACTTTTAGCTTGAACCTGGAAAGTAGAGGAGATGCAGGATGCGCTCCAGGTGCAGGCACAGGCGGGAAGGCCAGTGGGGGGAGGGTTAATGAGTACGACTCATGTCCATTTACATCTGTTCCGTTCTGTTCTAGCTAAATTTGGTGCGAACGCCATTCTGGGAGTGTCCCTGGCCGTCTGCAAGGCTGGGGCTGTTGAGAAGGGGGTGCCCCTGTACCGCCACATTGCTGACCTGGCTGGCAATGCCGAGGTCATCCTGCCAGTTCCGGTGAGTGGCTTCTCTGGACTTCTCAGGTGAGGCAATGGGAGCATGAGCTTTCTCGTGGGGATGCGAGGCCGCCCGCGTCCTGCTTTCATTGCCCGGTGACTCACCACAGTCGATGTGAGCAGGCTCGGGAAGCCTCAGCTGCAGACGACAACTCTGCCCTTTGCCCAGAGTGACGTTGAGCAGGTGCCTCGACTTCCCTGGCCCCTACCCCCAGCTCCTTTAGGGTCGATGAGGGTGGGGTCGTACTTGTTTAGCCCATTCACTGAGAATGTCTGGTGCTTAGACCGGGAAGCCTTTGTAGCCGCATGTGGCCATGCAGGTGGGTGTCATTCAGGCAGTTTGTGGTTCTGTGGGCTTCCTTGGGCTGATCCTGAACTTGTCTTTGTCTCTCTGCAGGCTTTCAATGTCATCAACGGTGGTTCCCACGCTGGCAACAAGCTGGCCATGCAGGAGTTCATGATCCTCCCCGTCGGCGCCGCAAACTTCAAGGAAGCCATGCGCATTGGGGCGGAGGTTTACCACAACCTGAAGAACGTCATCAAGGAGAAATACGGGAAAGACGCCACCAATGTGGGGGATGAAGGCGGGTTTGCTCCCAATATCCTGGAGAATAAAGAAGGTGAGGCTGTAGAGGAACCCCGAGTTCTTCGGTACTGAATTCAGTGTGAGAATTTTGAGGTACAGAAAGCCTTAGCACAAGAAACTGGCTGAGATTTTTTGTTTTGGAAAGAAAATGGGGCTCAAGGGCACCTGGTGAAAGAGCATATCCACCCACCCTCTGTGTGGTCACTGTAGGGCGATGGCATTATTCAGCCATCTGACCAGTAAAAACGGGCCTCTTACGTGGCTTAACCCAACCACTCGGGGGTGTTTGCCGTGGAGCAGGAGCCACCGTTCATTTCAGTCTCTTGGGCAGCCGAGCGAAGCAGGGCCTGGGGACCCCTTGCTGCCCAGGGCCTCCGCTGGCTCCGCCTGGCATCCCGCCTTGCTCTCTGCAAAGCCTCTCCCTTGGGACCGCCACCCTCAGCTGGTCCCTGTAACTGCCTCTTGCCCAACACAGCGGCCCTGGAGCCTCTGTCCTCTGAGTCAAGGTGGCGTTCCCACTTGGTGGTGCAGGAGGCGTGTAGACCGTTGGCGTCTTGGCCTGAGGCAGAAAAAAGTGACTAAAAACCGACGGTTGGGGCTTTGTGGTGGTTCCCATGGTGACGGTTTCTGTTAAAGAAAAGTGGGGTCTCCACCTGACTGATTTCCACCCTTGTCGCTCGCACCTCTTTCCAGCCCTGGAGCTGCTGAAGAATGCCATCGGCAAAGCTGGCTACACCGACAAGATTGTCATTGGCATGGATGTAGCTGCTTCTGAGTTCTACAGGTCAGGAAAGTATGACCTGGACTTCAAGTCGCCCGATGACCCCAGCAGGTACATCAGCCCGGACGAGCTGGCTAACCTGTACATGTCCTTCATCAAGGACTACCCCGGTGAGTGCTCCCGAGGCCCTGTCCTCCTCCTCCACCCCTGGCGCGTGGCAGGGCAGGCACACACTCGGCCTGTTGGTGGCACTGCAAGCATGAGAGCGGTGGGCAGCTGCGCCGCTCGGTTCAGATGCACACAGTGCGGAGGGCTTCACACGGATGCCTGGTATGGCAGAGGAGTCAGGAGTGTTCTGCGGTGCCAGCAAGCAGGGACGCGCTGTCACAGTTGTTTACACAGTGGGACTGCCTCCTGTCACTGTCACAGTAGCTTCCCTGGCACATGTGGTCTTGGCTTGGTCTTAGGTGAGCCAGGTGCTCCTGTAGGCCTGTGCTCACTGGATGCACAGGGTAGGTGCGGACTCACGATACGATACCATTTTATAAGAGAGGACCCTGAGGCACAGGGTCGCCAGTGAGTTGTGGGGTGGAGCGAGATTTCAGACCCGAAAGGCTGCCACCACATTTAAATGTGGTGCTAATTAACTTTCTCAAGGTAGAGCCAAGACACACACCACCCTGGGCAGATAAATGCCCCACTTCCTAACCGTGGGTCCCAGGATTGCGGGTGACTTGTGTGCCCTGGCCCAGGAGTAGGCTGGGAAGGCAGAGGGTTTCCAGGACAAGAGCCAGGGTCCGGTCCAGGAGAGGTGTGAGGCCGGGCGAGCCACAAGTTGGGCGGGAGGAGGGCCTGGCTCGGCGGAGCAGGCCGGGGGACTTGCCTGAGGAGGTGCGGCTCTGCTTCCCTCAGTGGTGTCCATTGAGGACCCCTTCGACCAGGACGACTGGGGAGCGTGGAGCAAGTTCACTGCCAGCGCGGGCATCCAGGTGGTGGGGGACGATCTCACGGTGACCAACCCGAAGCGGATCGCCAAGGCCGTGAACGAGAAGTCGTGCAACTGCCTCCTGCTCAAAGTGAACCAGATCGGCTCCGTTACCGAGTCTCTGCAGGCGTGAGTGCCCTCGGGGAGCGGGGCCGGGGGTCTGAGGGAGGGCTCCTCCCTGGAGCTCTGTCGGGGTTCTGTGTTGAACTCTGGGTGGCCTGTACGTGATGTCACCGAGGGGGCTAGGGTGTTGACAGTTGTGGCCTAATCCTGACCACTTTGAGACTTAGCTCCACATAGTGTGTATCAGGAGACAGGTCTCTCAAGGAGGCTGAACCCATTTGGGGGGGTTGGTTTTGTTTTTTGTTCTTGTTTTTTTTAAGATTTTATTTATTTATTTTTAGAGAGGGGAAGGGAGAAAGAAAGGGAGAGGAAAACATCATTGTGTGGTTGTCTCTCATGGGCCCTCTCCTGGGGGCGTGGTCTACAACCCAGGCACATGCCCTGACTGGGAATTGAACTGGCGACCTGTTCGCAGGCCAGTGCTCAGTCCACTGAGCCACACCAGCCAGGGCCTGAACCCCATTTTTGGGATGTGACTAGAGGGCTGATGTGGTCCTTGGGTCACAGTGACTTCAGAGGAGGGGGAGAGGGTCATCTCCCCAGGCCATCTGCTCCTGGGTCCTGACGTGTCCCCTGGTCTCCTACCAGGATGGTGAGTTGTGTCATGAGGAGGGGCTCTTGTGGAAACGGAGCCAGTGGCATCTCGTTTGTTTCCTGACTTCTAGGTGCAAGCTGGCCCAGTCCAATGGCTGGGGCGTCATGGTGTCCCATCGCTCCGGGGAGACTGAGGACACCTTCATCGCCGACCTGGTGGTGGGGCTTTGCACTGGGCAGGTAAAGAGCTCCCTGGGGTGAAAGCTGCTCCTCTTTGCTCTTCTGAGCTCAGCTTCCAAATGCAGAATGGGGGTGGGCGCGCGAGTGGGGTCCTGGGTGCCGCTTCTGCCCCTTTTCCTAGGGTCAGAGAACTGGGTCTCTCACTCCCAGGACTCCATGCTCACTGTAAGCAAACACAACCTTTCTTTTCTCCTCCCAGATCAAGACTGGTGCACCTTGCCGATCCGAGCGCTTGGCCAAGTACAACCAGCTCCTCAGGTAAAGAGAACATGTGCACTGAGTGTGTGGGCACTGCCCTCCGATAGGAGATCCTGGCTCTGTGGGGCCCCGGGGCCCAAGCAGTTGTTAAGCTGTAGTAGAGGAGGCAATTGCCCCGGAGCTGGAGCCTGTTCCATACAGTGCTGCCATCTGCTGGTGGAAGAGGGAACAGGTTCCCTGTTGGCCAATCAGAACTTTTAAGAGCCTCGGTAATTATTCAACACCCTTGTTTTGTAGACAAGGAAATCACTGGGACTTAGACGAAAATTCCATAGGGCACACGGCAGGATTTTTCCTTGGGATGTTGTGGTCACCCCACTTTTCGTCTTGTGTCCTTAGAAGGCTCCCACACCCAGGGAGACTTGTCCCCTCTTTTTGGTTACTTTTCCTGTCTTTTAGGGGAATATCAGTCCTTCCACATCAGTCCTTTAAAACTATCCTGGAAAATTCCAAGCATTTAAAAAAACACAGTGGGCAGGGAAGTGTACGCCCTTTTCCCTACTTTGGACTTTTTGGCGCGAATTCCAGATGTCTGTGGCCTGTCTTGTGAGGGAACTCTGTCGTTACAGAGCCCCGAGTCAGCAGTGAGTCTGAAATGTCGGTGCCAAGTCTGGGCAACTCTTCAGTCTCCCCAGGACCCCGTGTTCACACTGGGTTCCCCTCCGTCCCCCCCCATGCCACTCATTGAAAAAACTGGGTTTTTCTGTCACTTAAAAAATGTTCCTACATTCAAAGAGATAGCGGTCGTGACATTTCTTCCACTTCGTCCTTCAGAAACAGGGTGGAGAGGAGGGCAGGCTGCAGGGGGATGAGGGGCTGCCAGATGGGCTGGGGGTGGGTGCCTCTCTAGTCCCAGTGCCTCAGAGGCCTCAGTTTCAGAGGGTTCGGAATGAGTCCCACAGACTGGACGAGTGCAGGTGTCTCAGCTTCTCTGGGTGGAAAAAACTTAACTGCATCGAGATTTGACTTCTGTTTTTCCCTCCGGCCTCCCAAGAATTGAAGAGGAACTGGGCAGCAAGGCCAAGTTTGCCGGCAGGAACTTCAGAAACCCCCTCGCCAAGTAAGCTGTGGGCTGGCGAGCCTGGAGCCCTGCAGTCGCTCGTCGGCTAAGTAGACCTCTGCTCCTGACGTCTGCACGGGCAGCTCCAAGCCCCCGCCAACCCTTGCAGGGGCCTCTGGTCGCCAACCACCCTGCCCCCTCCCTGTGGCGTTGTCACTGCTTCCTTAGAACTGCTGCAAAGCCCAGGCTCGGCCGTCGGGAACCCTGGTGGAAACCCTAGCCCTGTAGTCACACGATTAGCCCAAATCATTGTTTTTCTCACCTCACTTCTCAAGTGTCTGGAGCCGAGTGTATCTGTGTTGTAATCTGTGAGGTGCCCACAGGGAGATCCCCAGTGGTTTTGTGTGAATAAAAAGGCTTCAGTGTCCTGTAGGAGTACTGCGCACACGTGTGTGAGAGAGCGTGTGTATGTGTGAGTGTGTTTTCAGGACAGTCTGATCTCGTCGGCTTGTGCCTAGAGTGTTCATGGGTGTTGCCCTTCAAGGGTTAGAGACTCTGTTGTGAAAAAAGGGACAATGACTTCGTTGCCTGAGTCCTTGGGAGATCAGTTTAGGTGAGAGAGGACATGTGCTGTGTCCTTCATACAGGGTGGGTCAGCTGGGAGGTAGAGTGACTTCAGGTGTGTACGTCTTACTGGAGAAAATACAAATGCACAGCTGTTGCAGATCATCAACCAAGGGCAGTGGCTTCCGGTCACATGACTGTGTTGCCACTGGGGTGAAGAACCAGCCAGGGCAAGCTGGAAGGCAGGCTCCCTGTTCTGGAGGAGACGGGTACAGGAATGGCTCAAAGGTGGCTCGGGGAGTCGGGGCACCTCAAGGGTAAGTGTTCGAAAGTTGCACATGGTTGACCCCACTGTGTAGGGAGTGCCGATATTCACCTGAACATCACAGAAAGCTCCGTTCCAGAGCAATGAGGCAAGACGTGTGCTCTTAAGACTGAAGTAAAATGCTTTGGTGGCTATCTTCCCCCTTGAAGTTTGGTCTTCTATTAGTATTTTATTTTTCTTCCTTTAAAATAATTCGATGAAAGTCTACTAGTTGTGTTTCGATACACATACAATACAGTTGGTCCCTGGCTGGTACGGCTCCGTTGGTTGGAGGTCCCAGATTGAATTCCTGGTCAGGGGACATGTCTAGGTTTCAGGTTCAGTCTGTAGGAAAGGCAACCTATCAATGTTTCTCCCTCTCCCTCCCTTCCCCTCAAAATCAATGAGCATGTCCTCTGATGAGGATAAATAGGCACAAACACACAGAACCACTAGGATGCCCCCTGGTGGACATTCTTATTCACTTTACCTATCAGGATTTAACCCAAGAAGCAGAACCAGTAGGTGAAGATACTTGTATTAAGAGATTTATTACAAGGACTTGGCTTATATGATTGTGGGGTTTGGCTGAGCAAATCCAAAATCCATATAGCAGTCGATCCATAGGGAAGGTGACGAGGACAATTCCACAGGCACCGGTGAGGGGCAAGTTCACAGGTGGAATTTCTTCTCTGGGAGAGACCTCGAGCCCTGATTTAAGAAGACCCCCCAGCAGATGCAGTCAGGCCCGTGCACATCCTCCTCACCTGAAGTCAACTGACGAGAGTGGCTTTAACTCTGCAAAACGGCCTCACGGTCAGACCTAGACTAGTGTCTGAATGACGGGACTCCGGTTGAGTTGACAGGTCAATCTCCGAAGCACAACAGTAACAGCCCTGCTTCCACCTGACGTGCAGCTCACACCAACAGCCCAGACCGCTGACCCTCCCCAGGTCCCGATGACCGGTTTCTACCCGAAAACTGATCCTGGAGGGAAGTCCATTATCCAATTGGGCCTGACAGTCTTACCTGGGTGTGTTTGTCCCACTTGAAAGCAGCAAGTTGGCAATAATTAAGTTTGGTTTAATAACATTATTAACTAATTTTTAAAACAAGTGGCTGGTACGTAACAGGCGTTTAACACTCTTGGGTTCAAGGGCAGGAGACCTTGCAGATAAGCTCCTCCCCGAAAGAAGGCCTGCAAGCTGGGCTTGGCGGGTGAGGACCACAGACTGACAGCTTGTGAGCCGGCAGGAATGAGGCACCTGCCTTCCGTGGGCTGGCGGGAGTCAGCCGGAAGAACTGCAGACCGCGGGGCCTTCTCCTGGGGCCCTGTCTGAAGCAGGACAGGAAACAAGTCCGTGTTTACAGGAAACCGTTCTTGAGCTTGAAGGTGGCCTGGGGTGTTAGGCATGCCTCGGATCATGTGCGTTTACAGGAGCTTTTAAAATGTTTTTTTGAAGATTTCATTTGTTTTAGAGGGGAAGGGAGGGAGAAAGGAGAGAAACATCAATGTATGGTCGCCTCCCACACTGCCCCCTCTGGGGGCCTGACCTGGCCCGCAACCCAGGCATGTGCCCTGACTGGGAATCGAACAGGTGACATTTGGGATTGAGGGCCGGTGCTCAGTCCACTGAGCCACAGCAGCCAGGGTAGGAACTTTGTTTTTAAAGCAAACATCTTTGTTAGCACATGTTCCCCGTCTCTGGACTTGCTTTATGTGTTTTCCCTTTTTCTTTAACTTAATATTACCAGCACTTTTCCACAAAGTGTGTCTGTCTTGTATGTCCTCCACCTTCCACAATTCTCCATCTCTGTCATTCAAACCACCACCAATGGGAAGTATGGGCAGTGGTTCTCTAACCAGGCCGTGCAGTGCCGTCACCCAGGAGGCCTCTGGAGCCCGGATCGCCCAGGCCAGGCTCCTCCATCACAGGGGTCCAAAGAAAGCATCAGTGATGTTTGACACTCCCCAGCTGACTCCCAGGTGCAGCCGAGCTTGAGAACCGCTGGTGCAGAGTAAGGAATTGAGGGGCCTGGTGACCAGGCCCAGCACGAGGGCCAGGCTTTCCCTGAAAAGCCCCTGGTGCTGTTTTCAGTGAAAGCAGCTGAGGCTGGAAGATGGCAAGCAAATGCCATCACGCAGTTCACAAAGCTGGACCACGGTGCAGGGAGGGGGCCCAACAGGAGCCTGGTTCTTGGCTGTGAGTTCTGTGCTGGGGCCAGCTGATGTAGCCCAGTCTGCTCCCCTTCAAGCAGCAGAGGTGCCAACACCTGCCCCCTGTCAGCAGCCACAGCATGGTCAGGGTGGCAGCTGAGAGCACAGGTGGAGCCAGATGACATGGGCTTGGAGTCTGGCCCTTTGAGTGTGCCACAGTTTGCTCATCTGTAAAATGGGCACCAGCAGGACAGCACAGCATTGGGTTATGGAGGGATTGTATCACTTAGGCTCTCAGAGCAAATCCAACAACCAGTCAGGTGCTGATGCACTAGTGAGGTGCTCGGGGGAACGGGAGGGAGGTCTTCAGAGCATACGAAGCAGCTGTGGTCATGAATACACAGGAGAGGGAGAGGAGCATTCACGGTGACCCAGGGCGCAGCGCTGGTCCCCACTGGCCCGACCTGCTGGGTCACCACCTTACTGAGGGGTAGCTGACACGCGGTAACTGGCACCCACTTAGCGTTCAGTCTCCTGTGTTTTCACAGACACCTGAGCAGCCAGCCCCTCCCCCACCAACAAGAGGATTTTGAGCCCCTTCCCAGTCAATCCCCACCCCTCCAGCTCGGTGTTTTTTTAAAAATCACATTGTCAAAATCTAAAGAACGGATGTCTTGTAAAAATCAATTTCTGGATGATAATGGATTGGAAAATGGACAGCAGGCTTGCATTCCTTCGAAGGCGACACAGGCTGCTGCTGTGGTCCCACCTGCCTGCTTCCCTTACACACCTGGCCAGTTCTGTTTTGAACCTGCAACCCCTGGTCCACGGTCTCTTCTGCAAGCGCTCTTCCCTATCCGTTCCTTTTCCATGAAAACCCTCTATCCCAAAGGGTTCCGTGAGGTCTGGTACTCCAGGGTTTCTGGGCCATTGGCAGCCGATCTCCCCGCGCCTTAAGGCAGCAGGAACTCCCCAGACACAACCTTGAGCTCTCCTGCTCACCTGAGACCCAGGAATGCGGCAGCCAGGCGCCGCCTTCATCTAACGCTGCTCCTCCGTTCTTAATGGGAGGTCACCTGGCCAGTGGCCTCCCCGCTTCTTCCTGCCCATCTTGCTGCAACATGTGAGAGCTTAGCAATCAGGCTACCTCCTGTCTGCCGGGACCAGGGATGATAGCAGACTCATTGCATCTGTGACCTAAGACAGTAATTAAACCCAGGTGCCCCAGGGGTGAGAAATAAGCACATTAATTCAGGAGCAATTAAAACCCTGCAACATCAGCCTCACACAGCCACCACTTCTGGGACTGGCTGTCACTGCTGAGAGTTTCCTTCCGGCTCCCTGGCTCCCCAGGTGACCCCAGACTGCGGTTAGGCCTGGCATTTGCGAGGGGGCATGCGCAGGCCTAAGTGGGGCAGCTCCTGACTCAGACTTCTGTAGGGTCCCTGCTCCTATTGGGGAGCAGTGACTGTGCAAGACAATGCCCTAGTCCTTTGTTTTTAATTGCAGCAGAATACCCATAGTGAAATGTAGCACTTTAACCGTGTCCAAGTGTGCAGTTCAGTGTCATTAAGTGCATCCGAGGTGTCGTATAGCCATGACATTAACTGTGTCCCAGAACTTGCTATCCCCAACAGAAACTATACCCCTTAGGCAGTAACTCCCATTTCCTGCTCCTCTCCACCCTCTGGCAACTTTCATTCTTTTCGCTATGAATTTGCCTACTCTAGGTATTTTATATAAAGGTCTTGTACAATATTTATCATTTTGGGAGGGCCTGGCTTATTCCACTTAGCATAGTGTTTTCAAGGTTTTTACATGTGTCAGTACTTCATTCCTTTTTATGGCTGAATAATATTCCATTTTGTGGCTATACCACCTTTGTTCATTCATTCATTTGCTGAGAGACACTTAGATTGTTTCTGCCTGTTGACTATTAGTAATATTTCTGTGAACATTGGTATATACATCTGTTTGAGTGCCTGCTTTCCATTATGTTAGACATGTTCTTAGTGGTGGAATTGCTAGGTTAGATGGAACTTCCATATTTAACTTTCCCAGGAGCCACCAAACTGTCTCCTGTGGTGGCTGCTCTATTCCGCATCCTCACCAGTAAGGTAATGAGGTTGCAGTTTCTTCATATTCTCATCAATATTTGTTATTTTCCTCTTTTTTATTATGCCCATTGCAGCAGGTATGAAGTGGTGTCTCGCTGTGGTTTTGATTTGCGTTTCATTAATGACTAATGACGTTAAACACCTTTTCATGTGCTTATTGGCTGTTTACTTTTGATGAGACATCATCTGGTCAATCTGGCCATTTTCTAAATTGGGTCATTTGCCTTGTTGCTGAGTTATAGCTGTTTATATTTTCCGGATACTATCAGATGTGATTTGCAAATATTTC